CAATTAACGAACGGCTCCGTTGTCCGCACCTCGGAAAAGTCTGCACGGCGTTCGGGCGCTAAGAAGCGTTACACACATTTTAGTATCCTTGGAACTTTTGATTTACGATCTTGTTTGTCGTATCGTACGAGTGATCTTGCAGCTATATTTTACACAGAGACACAGGATGAATTTAGTACAAAGAAATGCGAATGCAGCATATCACAAATCGGTAAGGAAATACTAGAGTCGATTGAAAGGATCGAATCGATCCGAGCGCCATTTGAGTAACGAAAGAAATAGTTCTCAGACAGCATAAAATATTCATAGAATAGAGAAATGAAGTTGAAAAATATTCCTCACGTATATTCGACATTGGAATGATATTTTAAGCACAATATTAGATTATGTACACATGAGCGCCATTTAAGTAACGAAAGAAATAGAGGCGACGGTCTCAGACAGCATAAAATATTCATAGAATATAGAAATGAAGTTGGAAAATATTTCTCACGTATATTCGACATTGGAATGATATTTTCAGCACAATATTAGATTATGTACATATGATAATGATTCCAGGATATAGTCTAAAAATACTTCATGTTTAATAAAGCCGATTCTTAGTATCGATATAATATTCTATTTTCTAGTACAGGAGTTCGGTAATGTGTCTAACAAAGAAGGTATCCCAGGTCGATCTCTCCGATTTGATTTCTTTTATATTATGTTATAGCAGACTAAAAACTAAGCGACACGTATTTTTTTCTTATCTGCCATTAACCCTTTGCGGTCGCATTTTCCCAAGATCAAGAGAATTTTGGTGGCTGAGAGTAGACATACGACCGCAAAGGGTTAAACACTTTAAGGGGGTGGAACCACCATCCAAAGTAAGGCATGTCAAGGGTCGATTTGGCAGTTTCACCCACAAGGACATAATATTTTTTACCCAATCCACCTGGAAAAGCTTTCTCATAACAAGAAATTAAAAAAATAATTAAGGGGTGAGCCACCCCTCACAGGCCTTACTTTGGATGGTGTTTTCACCCCCTTAAAGTGTTTAATGGCAGATACAAAAAAAATACGTGTTGCTTAGTTTTTAGTCTACTATAACATATTATAAAAAGAAATCAAATCGGAGAGATCGACCTGGGATACCTTCCTTGTTAGTAGAAAGGTTTAAGATCCTCTTAAGTATGATTATGAATCAGTCGATACTAAGATCACTTATACGAACTGGCATATTAATGATTGTACATAAAAAATTACTTAATGCAAACCAAAAATAAGAAAGAGCTGACTTTTATGTCGTTTGTTGACGTAGCCGCATCAGATTATTCAGAATACAGTCATTGCTGTGGCAAACATTAAAATAACGTGGGAGTTGTTCCATATCAATCAAACCGTATAAAACACAAAGTGCGAAGGAAGATTACCAACTTATGATAAATATTTTTGAAAAGTACTTGGTAACCCATTCATTTATGGTCGAATATAGCGCAAAGATTCTCTGTACGCTACTCTTTGAAGATCTGGGGTGTCATGGTTAGATAAAACAAACCAATAAAAATAAAGAAGCAATAATAAGCAAGAACATGAAAAGCCTAAATAATTGCGCCAGCAAAGGGTATTCACTGCACGTTAATAGCAGATTTAATTTCCGTCCCTGGCAACCGAAACTCAATCCACCACGTTGGATAAGGACATTAACTACGTGATATGTATAACTAGAAGGCTAATATACGTCGTGATAGACTTATAAAACACCATGTAGATTGCTAGGAGTATTTTAGTGCCTACACTCAAGAGGCGACTCTTAGTCGCCACTGGCAACTCGAATGGCAAAGACCTCGAACGCAAAGGGTTAAAATATCAAACCCTTCCTAATACCTGTATTTCGTATATGTGTCCATAATTATGAAAGTGGTCTAAGTCATATATTTCTTGTTTCGAGATATTTAATGAATTGCATTTGAATAAATTAAAAAATATTTTTATATTATGCAACATTTTAATTTCGAGTTTTATTAGTCTTGATTAATGGAAATTTATTATGAACATGAAATTTTGGGTGAATTTCATAGGAAAATGTTGTTTTTAGAGTGTGAATTGACTTAGACCATTTTCAAAATTAACTGAATGTCCTATAAATGACTTAAAGCAATAAAAAACTACGAGTTTTGTTAGAAACGATAATTTTAATGAAATAATTCATGAACATTTATTAATTATTTTTCAAAAGAAATCCATTTTTATCATTTTAGGCTTCCATCATTATGAGTTTTTAAGGTTTTTTCAAATGTTCCTGAAAAACTGAAGAGATGTAAACATAATTTCTTTGTTTTTCTTCCATTACTGGTCTAGTGGTGAGGTATAATGGTAGTAATTTAATATTTCCGTATATTTTTGGTCTTCTTCCTTTAGGCGAAAGATTCAAAACGTGGAATTTAGAATCATCTAAAGAAGTATTACGTGGTCGTATAATATCTACAAATCACATCATATCCGAATAGTAATTAACATATTCACATAATATGTACGTTGTCATTAACTTACCTGAACCGCTATCTGCGGACATAGTGGTAAAATATATAAATAATTTTTCAGCCAATAATTAGTTCGGAAGAGCCCAACTGAATTAATGCACTTTCAAAATAGAACAAAATGAATTCCATGTATTGTTAGGTAGACCGGAAAGTATTGTCGTTTCTGTTACCGTTTGATTGTCATTTGTCGGCTTATCGTGTAGTTCAAAAACGCGCCAAAGAGGGCCACGTGCCATTTTAAGGTTATGTTTACATAATTTCTTTAAATTTTTGACGTAGACCACTTTCATAATTAACACTAAATGAATTCCATATAATGTTGAAATTACAACCACTCTCTAATGGTTCATTTTTGACAATATCGCAAAAATGACATTGAATTAATTTAGCTTAAGATAATGTGGGGTGAAATACCTGATAAACTCATTTTTTTTTAATTTGGACTTAGACCACTTTCATAATTATGGGCTCATATGTATGTTATATGAGCCGTTTATTTTGAAAGTGGTCTAAGTCCATTTGTAAATTATTTTCGGTTGCCCGTAGTTACATGTACAACTTGAAATTATCTATCAATAAAGCATTTGAGGTTAATTATATTCCGAGTAAATACGATAATTTTGAACACATAAGTTTTCAGAGTTTGTTCATTAATTAAAACCATCATTTTGAAAATGGCCTAAGTCCAATCTATATGTACGTTCTAAATTTAGGTATTCACAATTTTCATAACGATAATGTTCACGTGTACGTTTGGGATGAAACTATTGCATCAAGAGGTGCTCAAGAAATAACTTCATGCATCCTAAAACATGTTCAAAATGTAAGAAGTGAAAGACACGTTATAGCTTACAGTGACATGTGTGCAGGACAAAATAGAAACATTGAAGTAGCTTTAATGTGGCTAAAAATTGTCCAAACTGTTGAACATAATGTGGAAATCATGGATCATAAATTTTTAATATCGGGTCATTCGTTTTTACCAAATGAGGAAATCGGGACATTTGTTTTTACCAAAAAAAAATTAGGGGGTGAGCCACCCCTCACAGGCCTTACTTTGGATGATGGTTTCACCCCCTTAAAGTGTTTAATGGCAGATAAAAAAAATACGTGTCGCTTAGTTTTTAGTCTACTATAGCATATTATAAAAGAAATCAAATCGAAGAGATCGACCCGGGATACCTTCCTTTTTAGTAGCACGGCAACACTGCGGGATTACGCGCGCATCAAGACTCGTCTCGCCACATTTTCCAATTTAAGATGGACGCCATTAACAGGTCCTTCCCACCTCGAGTTTTTGCAACCGCAATTCTCCAATCTGGCGAAATTTTAACGCGAGCTCGTTAATTCGTGATCCTCGTTACAACGGATAGTAAACTTTTATTGACACTTAATGATTTTTCGATTCTCGCTTACACGACTCGCCTCGTAAATGCGTTATTGTGCGCCGTGAACTAACCTTATCTTCGCTTGGTTTCATTTAAATCACGAGGAAGTTTCATTTAGTTACTTTGCTCTTTTACATGAACCTTCTAGAAGAATTCGACCTTCACTCTTCCGGTAGGTGAGGAATTCGAAAAAAAGTTGCTTAGATACCCTTGTCCTGATTAGGTATAGAATAACGTTCGCTTTCTCCCATTATTGTTGCCTGTTTTTTAATAAAAGAAAATTAAACATGAACCTTTACATGAACGTTGTAGAAGAATTCGACCTTCACTCTTCCGGTAGGTGAAGAATTCGAAAAAAAATTGCTTAGAGTACCCTTATCCTGATTAGGTATAGAATAACGTTCACTTTCTTCCATTATTGCTGCCTGCTGTTTAATTAAAAAAAAATTAAATATCGAAGAAATACAAAATGTGAAAATAATTGAAAATTACTTTTGCTCGGAGTACCAATTATCATGCCTCGTATCAAATCTTTTGAAATTCATTTCGTACATTTTCTTAAAAAAAAGTATGCATTGTTTGAGAAATATTAATTAAAGGCTATGTATAAGTATTGTGGGAACATTAGGTACAATAATTTATACGTTAAGATTTGCATTGCATCAATTACATTCTTTCTACTGTGATTATTGAAATTCATCATTTTCATTCATTCATTTCCCAGAACATCAAATTAATTTCACAGGACTGTTTACGCAGTATATTTTCGAACTACATTGTGAAATAAGAACATCGAAAATATTTACTTCATGTGATTAAACATATTCTAAAGTGCAGAACTCTCTCCCTTTTTGGAAACTCTACGGGTGAAAATCTAAAAAATAAATTACAAGTTTCCGAAATTTTCGATAAAATGTTCACTTAGGAAAGAATATGGAATAGTATAAGAATTAACTTTACCGATCTACTAATTCGTTAATTAGAAACATTACATCGCAAGAAGTATTTTATGTAATACTGCTATGAAAGTATCTTTATGCGTTATTGAAACTTTCCATTAACAAAGGATTAATTTTTCGAACGTTTCTTTGTCTTCAGGTACGGCGAGAAGCAACGTCGCGCTGATAGTCAAGAATTAAGCGGAATACAATTGCTTTCTGCAACAGCTTATCAGCTGAAGAAACCGTACCAGCAACTACTGATACCGATTACAGTATGGATCGGTATGGAGCAGGCATTCATTGGCGCAGACTTCACTCAGGTAATTCAGCATGAAAGTAATAAGAAATCTAATAACCTCTAGTAGCACAAAATATTTGTCATATATTTTCTATATATTTAACGAACATCGTACATTTTGTAAATATTAAGCAGACATTTGAAACATTTGCAAAACGTTTACTTCAGAATATTATCCCTATAATATGTATATAATATTACCTCCATTTCATTTTTAAAAACATTTCATTTCATTTTAATATAAGTATTTTTTAANATACATAGAAAATATAGGACAAATACTTTGTGCTACTAAGGGTATAATAATAACTATGTACATTTTTTCGCAGGTGTATTTTTACGCAATTCCGAAAATAAATTACAATTAAAATATACACTTCATATGAACTTATAATCACTAATTTTATTCTTCAAAAAATAATGTTGTTTAACTGTAATTTCTCCTGTGACACTACCGAACGCGATGTCGTTCATAGCTAAAAGAAACAAACTGTATAAATGCATAAACAGAGACGATCATCTTGTGCATCATCAAGAAAACAAACTTTCTGAGGCCACCTGGTCTTTAGCTTCAGTTATTGTTATCTTCGACAAAGGTAACACCTTATGACATGCGGGCTATTTTTAATAACAATCTCTGCTGATAATTTTAAGATATAACACATGATAGCCGAGCACCGTGACGATTCGCGACTCGTTGATCATTAATTTTATATTCGATCATGCACCTAGTTGACACTTCATACGTATGAATGCTAATATTTGAAGTAACAAAGACGCAAAAAGATTTACATACATTACATTTATAGTTCTGCTCAACGTAATACGATATGCGAAATAACCACCCGGAGCAAACAATACTTAAATAAACAATTTGCTTATTTAATATTAGACACAATTTAAAAGGGTTAACATCATTGCAAGTAACACATTCTACTTAAATGTACTAAAGTAGATATTAGACCGTTAATATTGGCCGCCCTGATTTTTAATAAATATCCACGGCATGCAATATGAAACTACCTATAAATATTATTCTTAAAACATATTAAAAAATCGGAAATAGTGATAGGCTTTACAAAACGGAACGTACTTTCTTTATGCCAAATATGAGTCCATAATAAGTTCTCTTATTCGAGAAAAAAATATTCATCGAATTGATTGACCGAACTTTCGCGTAAAGTATTCGATGCCATTCGCACATGCTTCTAAGGTGAAGTGAAACCCCCTTTAAATCAGTCGATTCGAATACAACACTTTTCTTTAAGGGTATTAGACCAAACTGTCCGAAACTTTGCCACGTCACTCCTGATCATCTAAGAATTGTCCTGACGCATTCAAAATTTGGATTTTTTAACACAATTTTTTAACTCAGCCCAGACAAGAACCAAAATGGCGTCGAGCTCTCATATTTCGATCAATATACAATTATCGAAGGCTCTGATATGAGAATCTAAAGGGTCAGGACAATTTTACGACAATTTAGAACACTGTGGTAATCGATAAACTCGCATTTGAACGGGATAAAGGCAAAAAAAGTGTTGTATGCGCTTCTGTGCTAAAACGATGGTCCCGGAGTGAAAATTCAATTAACCTGGAAATCACAGATGGCGCAGGGGGTCCCTCTGCAGTCGATTAGGGCCCCAAAAAGCACGAATCCAGGGGATTTCTGGAGTTTTCCTTCGGTTTTTTGATATTTATTGTACGAAAACGACAGGTGGAGTATGCCATTTGGTACAATACCCAATATAATTCGACGCCGCTGTCAATATAAAAAGAAACGTCGGCAACGTAGGCATTTAGAAAAATCTTCTTTAGCGACGTCGATCAAGTTCTTCGACGTGTTTCCCTTCATCTTTACATGTATTTGGCACAAAACTTTACCGAGTTTCCTGATTGAGAGGATATATAAGATATATTTCTTTCTTCACTTATCGTCTCTATTTCTTCTGTTTGATTAGAGAGCTAAAACACCGACAAATGTTTCCTCAATATAGATACGGCTTAAACGAAAAACGCTTCTTCGCCTAAGTAAGCCGCGAAGGTTTCGTTGCGAAAAATTCGCTTCTCTCATTTGCATTTCATGAAGGAAAGGCCAATCCTTGGTCAAGATCGATTCGCATATTTATCTTCCGAAGTGACGAAATATCCGAAGTTAAACATCCGGCCAGGGATCGTAAACAATTTACGAAGGGTCCTGCTGGAGTCTCTCTCAAGGTGAATCTTAATTCGAGAAATTGGAAAAATAAAATCCACCGAGCATTATCCCGCCGTCGAATTGCGTCATTGGAACCTTCGCCACGAGTGGTTAATGTCCGACTTCGCTAAAAGGATTTCTTCTTCCCTGTTTCCACGCCAAGGAGGATGTGCGGACCGAAGTGGTTGGCCTATTACCGACGACGTAATCGACCTTCCAATTATTCCCGATGATGGATTATTGTGCTCAACAGTGCGCCAATATGAAATCATCCACCATTTTATAATAGTTACTTGAGACATTGTAAGATAAAATCCGTGAGATACGCACATTGGTTCCTCCTCCTGAACTAGAGAATAAAACAAGTAGGACAGAGCTGAAGAAAAGTTAATTGAGGTTATGAAATCTGAAAAAAAAATCCAATGACTTTGCTCTTAGGGATAAAAAATTAGATCTGCTTGATCATCGCTGATACGTCGAATTAACGGTAACGACGCACTATAACTTCATAAAAAGTTCCAAGACTCAAGGCTGATTACTTCAAGTAATCATCTGTTCGGTACGAAGTTTGTAGTTCGCGCGACCATCGCCCGTCACTGAAGACGGAGTAAGATTCGGGGCCGCGAGATGGCGCGTCGAGCGCCGGTTTTGGCGGTTTTTCGGCGACGAGGTGCAGGAGTAGTGGAAGAAAAAAGATGGCGGATGCCAGTCGTTAACGTGTTTCCCGCTTAAGGTGAAGTGAAACACCCTTCAAATCAGTCGATTCGAATACAACACTTTTTTTTAAGGGTATTGGACCGAACTGTACGAAACTTGGACACATGACTCGTGATCATCTAAGAATTGTCCTGACACAATCAAAATATGGATTTTTTGAAAATATGTATAACTTCGACCAGACCAGAACCAAAATGGCGTCGAGCTCTCGTATTTCGATCAATATACAATTATCGAAGGCTCCCATATGAGAAACGAAACGGTCAGGACAATTTTACAATTTAGAATACTCTGGTAATCGATAAACTCGCATTTGAACGAGATAAAGGCAAAAAAAATGTTTTATGGGCTTCTATACCAAAACGATGGAAATACGAGGTCTCGGAGTGAAAATTTAATTGACCTGGAAATCACAGATGGCGCAGGGGGTCCCTCTGCAGTCGATTGGGGCCCCAGAAAGCATGAATCCAGTGGATTTCTGGAGTTTTACTTCGATTTCTTTGTCATTATTGTATGAAAACGACAGGTGGAGTATGCCATTTAGTGCAGTACCCAATATAATTCTACACAACCGTCAACATGAAAACGAACTTAGGCAACGTAGGTATTTAGAAAAATCTTCTTTATCGACGTCGATCAAGTTGCTCGACGTGTTTCACTTCACCATAAGTAAATTAAAGTTAAATAAAGAAAGTTTAATGTACATCTATGAAATTCAAGCGTTGCTTTCTTTCGGATCGACCCATCACACACGACAAAACATCATCCAAAGATGTTGGTACGCAATGGTGCCGCTTTCGCAGTCTAATGTACCTTAACTCATTGAATGATATTTTTTATGTACTTGTTTATGTGACGTACTTTCGTCGAAGCTGGCGGCACAATTCCTTGTATCTTCATTACGTAGTTTCTTGTGCCCTCGTAAATAACTATTCTCGCGTCCTTTCCTCGGTAATGGATTACTGGTGATAATCGCTCTGTAATTGTTATGGAAAAAAAATTATCCTGACTTATCTACTTGGCATAAATTGTCTACTGCATAAAACAAAGCCGTTTCGAATTGTATTTTTCACTAAATAAAACCTGCGATGGTTGCAGAAAATAGTTAAATTTTTCGATCCCTACTTTTTTTTTTAATTTCATCCAATTTGTTATGTATTTGTTTGAATACGAATGTTTAAGTAAACAATACAAACGCAATTTTGGCAATATTAATTGAAAATGTTATAAACGTTTATATACAGCATCTCACGTTCTGTATAATTTTCCTCAATCTACATTTTTGGGGTGAAAACAATTTTGCCAAATCTTTTGCTAAACAAAATCAAACGGCAACCTCTGTCTATCGTCTCTTCCTTAAATTTCATTTAGAGATCATTATTTATAAGTTTCGTAATTTACACAAATTTAATCTTAAATTAATTGATGAGAAATGTAATTTAAACAAATTTAATCTTAAATTATTTG